CTATTACTAAACTGTTATGATACTGTACATGACGTCATCCGCCCCCGAACGTTTCCGCCGTTCCGGTTTGGGGGTGTGACAAATATGAAACATATACTAAATAATAAAGCGATAAAATTGACAATTTACATTTCAAAAGAGACTTGCATGAATAATATGACATATCCATGATTTTTATAATTTGATTTTATTATTTTTAACTATTGTTCGTTAATTTTAAAATCACTTATTATGATTGATAAGTGAAAGAAAACTTTTGAAAAACACTTATTATTATACTTAAAATGTTAAACATATACTAAAATATAAAGTGATAAGATAGACAATTTGCATTTTAAAAGCGACTTACATGGATAATATAGATAATATGACATATCCATGATTTTTAATTAATTATTGCTTTGAAGCAACACAAACATACAAACATATATACAATATTTAATTAAATATTATCTATATCACATTCCATAACATATGATCGATAACATGAATCAAATCTTATTTACAATAAAATTTCAACCACAACATACAATGATTGTCTTAAAAGAATACTTAAACCAAGAAAAATAAAATAATAAAAAAAATTAATATATAACAAATTTACAAATTAAAAACTTTAACATAATAACATGGCTCGTAAAATGGTCCAAATCCCTCAAACCAACACAAAAACCTTTAAACTTGTTTTCTTTGTGAATTTTGTATGTGATTGGTATTTGTGTGTCTACTCAAAGAGATTGACATTTTATAGTAGACTGTCCATTAATTGCTTATTAAACATATTATGTAAGTTATAGAACATTTGAATGGTTAATCATTATTAAGAGACTTTTGAGTGGTATTCATTCAAATAGGAGGTTTCAAATGAATATGGTTTGAGTATAAATGCCTCATGGGAGTTTCAAATGAATGTGGTGAAAAGAAAATTCTTCATTTATAAGTATACCAGACGAATTCTTATGTGTTGCGTGACGCAGGTTAAAAATATGCTGTTAGAATATTGAAAAATATATGTTTATAATAGTTATGTTATTGATATTAACGTTGAAATAAAATTTTTACACTAATATATATATATATATATATATATATATAATCTCAACTATTTTGAACAATAATATTCATTTATATCAACCCACCTTCCTCATTAATAAAATTAAATATAATTATCTATTTAGTATTATTTTTAACAATTGTTATGATTGATTAATTTAAATTTTTACTTATGCAATTATTTTCTCATTTCATTAATGATGTTCATTTAAAATATAATTTATTTGTACCTAACATTATGTAATTTATAATTTGATGTTATTATCATTTAAAATTATTCTTCATTAATTTTAAATCACTTATTATTATTAATAAGTTAAAGAAGTCTTTTAAGAAACACTTAATATTATTATTCAAATATGAAATATATACTAAATAATAAAGTGATAAGATCGACAATTTGCATTTCAAAAGAGACTTGCATGGATAATGTGACATATCCATGATTTTTATAATTAGATTTTATTATTTATAACTATTGTTCGTTAATTTTAAAACCACTTATTATTAATAATAAGTGAAAGAAAAATTTTAAAAAACACTTATTATTATACTTAAAATGTTAAACATATACTAAAATATAAAGTGATAAGACAGACAATTTGCATTTTAAAAGAGAATTACATTGATAATATGGATAATATGACATATCCATGATTTTTTATTAATTATTGTTTTGAAGCAACGCAAACATACAAACATATATACAATATTTAACTAAATATTATCTATATCACAATCCATAACATATGATCGATAACATGAATCTAATCTAATTTAAATCAAAATTTCAACCCCAACATACAATGATTGTCTTAAAAGAACACTTAAAACAAGAAAAATAAAATAAAAAAAAGAATTAGTATATAACAAATTTACAAATTAAAAACTTTAACATAATAACATGGCTCGAAAAATGGTCCAAAGCCCTCAAACCAACACAAAAACCTTTAGACTTGTTTTCTTTGTGAATTTTGTATGTGATTGGTATTTGTGTGTCTACTCAAAGAGATTGACATTTTATAGTAGACTATCTATTAATTGCTTATTAATCATATTATATAACTGATAAAGCCTTTGAATGGTTAATCATTATTAAGAGACTTTTGAGTGATATTCATTCAAATAGGAGGTTTCAAATAAATATGGTTTGAGTAAAAATGTCTCATGTGAGTTTTAAATGAATGTGGTAAAAGGAAAAATGCTTCCTTTATAAGTATACTAGGCGAATGTCCGCGCGTTGCGTAGAAACACCTTTATAGTTGAGGTCTTTACAAATATATGTTTTTTAAATATAACAATAACGTTATTGTTAAATTTGATATAATAATTCGTATAATAAATTGATATAATATATTGATTATTTTGAATTATATGATAATATATACATCTATTATAACTGCATAATCTCAATCGTTTGAATGACTTCTATCCGCGAGTTACACATGAATAAAATTAAATATAATATATGGTTTAATGTTATTTATAGTTGTTATTGTTAATTAATTTTTTAAATTTTATTTGCTTAATGTTTTAATTTCTATCATTATAATTATTTAAAACATCAAACATTGTTTTTTGATTTTAAAGGTAACAATATAATCATTTATATAGAGTTATTTTTAACTGTTGTTATTGTAAGTTATTTTAAGCTACTTATTTAAAAACTTTTAACGATTATAAAAATATCTTCAGGGAATAGTTTAGTTAAATTGAGATTACAATTTACTTTTTGCATTTATCAGTACAATTTATCACTTTTAACTATTTACAAAATATTCTTTGGTTTTTTTAAGTGAAACTGAAATTTATATTTAAGTTGACATTGTAATGTTATATTTAAATTAACAATTTAAGTATTTTGTCCAAACTGTTCAAAAGTTGTAGCTTTAAAGTGATAATGGTTTACATACAACAACATATTAAATCTAATAAATTAAGTATAATATGTTAAAAGTTAAAGACATAACTTTATAAGTAGAAGTAAATATATTATTTTAAAACTGAAATTTAGTATATTTATGATTACACTTTATGTTTGATATTTATTTAACCTTATTAACCAACTTATAATCATTATTAGAAAGACACTACAATTAATCACTTTTTACTATTTACAAAATATTTTTGGGTTGTTTAAGTTCAACTAAAATTTATATTTAAGTTGAACGTGTAATGTTATATTCAAATTAATAATTAAATATTTTATACAAATTGTTCCAAAATTTTATCTTTAAAATAATAATGGTTTATATCTAACAATATATTAAAACTAATAAATTAAGTATAATATGTTAAAAGTTAAGAAAACATAACTTTATAAGTAGAAGTAAAAATATTATTTTAATATTGAAATTTAGTTTATATATGATTACACTTTAGGTTTGATATTTATTTAACCTTATTAACCAACTTATAATTATTATTATAAAGAAATTGAAAAGTCATGAGAGTTTCAAATGAATGTGGTGAAAGGAAAAATGCATGAGAGTTTCAAATGAATGTGGTGAAAGGAAAAGTATTTCCTTTATAATATAGTATGATATGATATAGATATAGATGAATAAAAGAAGTTTTTGTGTTATATTTATATGTATTGTTCAATATACTTGCCTCCAGATCCAACATCCCTAACATCGCACAGCCCGACGTTTCTGCCGCCGGCTGGAGGTGTGACATAGTCTAAAATAATAGGTATGTCTAAACTTGTTTCGGTCCCATCTTTCAGAATTTTATCTGGTTTTAACCCAAGCTTTAACACCCTCCTCTTTGATTTCCTTCTTGATTTTATATGCGCCCTTGGTGATTTACTTTTTGATTTTTTTCTAATTAAACATCTAGTCTTTTCGATATGTAAAAAACAATCCAACATGTAACTACAGTATCATAAAAAAATATGTATACCAATGTTTTTCAATTAAAGTTTATATTTATCAGACGCAATTCTGAAAGCTTCTGTAGATGGAAAATAATTTATTCGTTCGTAAAACCCAATTTTTTCTAACAACATCCATGCAAATTGATCTTCAGACTAATACAATATAAGGTATTGGTTTAACGATATTAGAAAAAAATAAAAATAAAAAAGAAGAAAGAAATATATTCTTTGTATTCCGGACTATTATTATCATTCAAAACTATCATTCCAGAAATGATATTCGTATTCCGGACTGTTAGTACCGTTTTGAAATCATTTGTAATGGGTCATCTATACTTATTTCCTCTCTAAGGAGTGCACAAACACATTTAAGGTATTAGTATGGTCATTATATGGTTATAATGGTTAAAAGTAAAAATAACTACTAAAATTAAGTTATTCCAGACTTTGTTTATCGTATTCCGAAATTTTTATACGCATTCCGAAATACAGAAAATCGTTTGTAAACTAAATCATAAGTAAATTAAATAGTAAAACTCATCCGATTTGTTGAATCCATGGTAGATAGGCTTAAAATCTGTGTTCGAAATTTTTTTGGTAGAATTAAGGGCGAAATTTCATTTTCTGGAATTCTTATTCTGGCTTTTAGGTATGGGACCCATATATAACATTGAACTATAGTAGTGAGTTTGATCAATTTTGGTCTGCTACGGAATGTCCACTCCAGAAAGAATGGTTATTTTCAAAAAAAAAAATTTGTGATTATTATTTATAAAGTCATCCTAAAATATGGTTAAATTACTCAATTTCCCTAATAAAAACTATACAAATAAAAAACAAAAGTTAAAGGGTGCTGCCTAAATTACCATCCTATTGACACATTTATCAAAAATCTAACTTATAATTATTTTTTCTTAAAACAATACAATTTCAACAAATAATCTCTATAACTCTATATAATAAATAAGATATTTTTTTAACCGACCTTTGTTAAAAACTAAACACCAACCATACCGATATCGTGTAGACATTGGTGTAATTTACTTGAAATAAATCAATTTATTTTCACATGAAAATATTTTTACCCGTTCTCTCTTTATACGGTAAAGTTGGCCAAAATGTCAGACAAAAAAAAAAGCCGCAAGTTGATGCACATGGGATTGAAGGGTTGCTCATGGCCTTACGGTTCCCAATCCCTACATACATGATTCATTCCCATCCCCATTTCCCATTTTCCATCTTCATTCACAACTTCCACTGCAATTCCTCAATAATCCATCAAAACCCTCATCCGATACTTTTGATCCTTCCCTCAGATTCTTAAAAGTAAAATCTCATAGACAGTTTAACACCAATTTCTCAATACATGATCGTTATCCGCACTGGTTCGTTGCGTTTCTGATATTTTTACCCTTTTTTGTTTAATTGAAGCGTTGATTGTGTTGCCTTCTTTAATTTCATGTCCTATTTGCTTTTGATCATTCTCAATCCGCTAGTAAACATATTTTCCGCTGTGCAAAGAAGTGACGAATTGAAAGTTTTATGGTTTATTGACGATTTTGATCGTTTTACCACTTTTCGCTCTTGGAGATTGCAATTCTGGGGGTAGTCTAGTGAAGTTTGAGCTTAAATCTATTCTCGGATGTTTTAATTTAAAGAAGTTAGGTTTTTAATGCGTATACTTGGAGTTCCTTTATGGAAAGTTATTTTGACCACTCCGATTGAAGTGCTTCTTTATTGCTTTTTAACAAATTTGTACTCTTCAACATCCAATTTCGAATCTGTTTCTCTATTCTAGTGACAAATGTTTCATACACACGTTATCCACTCTGTTTACACCGATTTTTAATTGTTGGTTTTATGTCCATTGGTTTGTTAACTTGAACGGAACTATGTTATACATGGATTCAGAAAACTGTGCATTTGAGAGATTGTTTTTCATATTTGGAAGTGCATGATTGTAGAATCACAATAAATAAATATGGAATTTCCTTTTGTCGCAATGCTACTACATTATTTGGTACTTATCTCTCAAAAGTTTATGCGTTTTATCCAAATCAAGCGGATAAATGTCATGCTTAGTGTTAAATCGTACTATGTGGTGTGTATCTTGTATCATTCTCATATGCTGTATGGTAATAGAGAGTAAAGTTAGCTGACTTTTCATTGATTATGACTCCAGGTTCTGTGCTCTATCTTGCGGAATAAAAATGGACTTTGGATCTCATTCCACATACCAGTTTCAAGGAATCATGATTGTGTTACTTGGTGGTGTCTGGAGTTTTGGCTTAGGATTGGAAATACCTGCTCTTTCTTCTGAAGGAGGAATAGCAAAGATTGGAATGCTTAGAACTGAGGGATAGTATAAAAGATATGCGAATCTTACATCTTCTTTAGTGTTTCTAGTTCGAGTAGATTATTTGGATTGTGTAGTTGATAGAAGTGTGGTGTAGTGCATAAGGTAGTAATAGATTAATAGATTAATGGTTTTTCACAAGTTTAAGAAGGAAAAAGAATCTTGAACATGGGTTTACCTCAGGTCTCCAATAGCAACATTTCAGAGGAAGCAACAGCATCATTTAGCACATCAGTCCAATCTATGCCTCATTTCCATGGATTAAGCAGCTGTGACATGAGTGGAATTCATGTCAATCATCTCCAAGGAGAGCTTTCAAGAGAAGAAAACAGAGATAGACATGTAAATTGGCAGAGATTAAGTTCTGGAGATAATATTTCAACTTTCACCCGTAAAACTGGAAGAAATGTCCAAACTGCTGTATCCAGAATCGTGGGCTTTGAATCAAAAGCATCAAATTCTCCTGCTTTTGCATTAGATGGAGTACAAACTGATAATCTCCCCTCTAATAGCAACGATAATGCAACAGAAAACAGTGGAGCAATAGTGAGGAGAAAGTTCATGTCACCATTGAATAGCTTGATTATACCAAGTCAATTCGATAGAAACTTTCAAGAAACCAATGACACTAAGTGTGTGACTCCTTTTATTCTGTCAACAAGTCAATTTGATAGAAACTTTCAACAATGTAGGAATCCAGGAAGTGTAAGTTTTGGGAGAAGTTGTGGTTTTTTCACTGATGGGCCATTGCTTGAGAACACAGATGCTCGATCTTTTGGTTCTTTATCATCTTCACCAGGATTAGATAGCAATCATAGCATAGAATCTACTACAATAAGGTCTTTGAATTCACCCATTGCTATACCTTCAAGAAAAGTGGTGTCATCTCCTCTATCTTTATCCCCACTTGGTCCTAAATTCTCTAGAACACCAAAACTTTGTATGAATAATGACATGGATGATAACCATGTAACTTTGAAGGATATTGAAGTGTCTCTTAATGGCACAATCTCTGATATTCTAGATGAAGATTCTAGAATGGTTAAAAAGTCAACTTTAGAAGTCAACCAAAGTATGATTGAAATGGTTGGGGATTGGGGTCAAGAAAGTCAAGATTCAAACTTTTTAACCCAATGTTCTAAGTTATGTAGGACTCCAAGTGGTTTACAAGTGAGAAGATCATGGATTGGTTCTTTTGAGGAGTCTTTGTTATCAGGTCGTTTAGCTTCTGGGACAATCAGCCAGGTCAGCTTTTTTTTTTTTTTTTTAAATCTTTTTTATTTCTTTCATATGGGTTTTTACAAAAATATGATTTGAAATTAAATCATGCAGAAAATTGATGGGTTTCTTGCTGTTTTGAATATTACTGGAGGAAGTTTTTCACCACGCCCTCAGAAACTTCCATTTGCTGTGACAAGTGTTGATGGGGATAACTTTTTGTTATACTATTCCTCCATTGATCTTGCTGCTGACGTGGCATCAAGTAAGCAAAAAGGTCAGAAAATGAAGAAGAGCCTTAGCATTGATGATTCTCATATGGAAAAAAGTCGATTGAGGATACCTATGAAAGGTCGCATACAGTTGGTATGTTGTGCAATCTGCACTACAAATTTACCTTTCTACCCCTCGTTAGATCATCTTATGATGTTGACAAATTTATCAATTATGCTTTCTGTAGGTCCTCAGTAATCCTGAAAAGACTCCAATTCACACTTTCTTCTGTAACTATGACTTGACTGACATGCCAGCTGGCACCAAGGTATGAACTATATATAAAATTCCATATCTTCTTCATCTAACATGCTATTATATCATATTATCATTATATCTAAATACAATTTTTTTGTTCATTATTTATACAGACATTTATGCGCCAAAAGGTCACTCTAGCTTCTAAAACAGGGGCACGTGTTAATAATAATAATAATAATAATAATAATCTTGGCTCACCAAAAGTGAATGAAAACCCTAATTCGGGTGTCTTGCGTTATGCCCTTCATCTTCGATTCCTGTGTCCATTTTCTAAAAAGAATTTGAAAAGTGTTGAGAGGTCCAAATCAGATCCTTTGTCTACTCCGGAAAAGAATAGAAACCTTGGAATGGAAAGACGATTCTATTTGTATAATGACATGAGGGTTGTGTTTCCTCAACGCCATTCCGATTCCGATGAAGGCAAGGTATGTCTTAACATGTATTCTTTCTTCAGTTTTTGACTATTTTTCCATTAACTGATGTTTAAAGGGCAAATTTGTCAAAAGGTACTTTAAAAAAGAAACACCTATATATAGCTTACCAAATTTAGGTTCTGTTTCTTTTTAACTTGACGGATAGTAGAAGGGTAAAATGGTCATTTACTCTGATTCAGACAATCCGAAAAAGTAACAGTTTTTTATGTATATCATACTTACTCATTTATACATTGAGTATTTTACCTATACAACAGTTAATAGCGATCTTTTATTTCGTTTTGTGCAAAAGACGTGAATGCCCTTCTGATTTTGGTTTGAAACTGCAGTTACATGCGGAGTGTCATTATCCATCAGATCCTAAGTACTTTGACATCAGTGACTAAAAGGTCCGGTTTCATTTCATCTTTTTAGATTACAAATCTGTGAATATTTTTCTTTTTAAAAAAAAAAATAAAAGTACAATATCTAGTCTTCTTTTATGATGATGGAAACTCCACACATCACTTGCTGTATAGATTTTCATTTAGAAGTTAGAATTTCTCATTGAAGCCTTGTCCCCACGTGTAAATATGTACATTCCTTCAACAAATAATTCAAATTTCTTCAAACACAAGTGATTCTTGCTTTTGGGTGTGGGGTATTTTTGTTTGTAAATGTTAGTTTATAAATATTTGTTTGTTTATCTTAATATAAAAAACTAATTTGCCATTATTATTTAGGTCCAATCAAATGTGTGTTTGTATTATATCTGATTATTAATACAAAAACGAAAATATATAAAACCAGATACCACTTTTCCTTCATTTTTGTCGTCTTATTTGTTTTGCTATGCTAATTTAGAATTCTTTGTGCCAATGTTACCTAAATTTAGATGTTTAGTAAATCATAGGACATGACAACTGTAGTAGAAATCAGAAGTTGTGTTTTTTTTTTCATCAAGCCAAAATGCCGGATTTCTAAAATCACAATTAGACATTGTTGTAGCAATATGATTTTACAATTCACTACTAAGGATTAAAGTTTGTGGTCATTTACTAACATTGCATCATACATTATTATAAAGTCTAATGCTAACTCAACTATTGTCATAGCTCAAATGTTGCGACCCTAAGATAGTCATTCATAAAAGACAAAAGTTTTGGTCCTTGTGGTTTCAAAAACCCCCACTTCGGCTGGTGCTTAGGCCACTCGGTGCACCCTCTACCGCACACTGCGGTTGCTGATTTGGCGTCGCAGTGTGCGGCGAACACAACTCCGACCCCCTCCAAGATACTGCGGTGAGGATACAGCAGGAAGCAGCTATACCACACCCTTTACCCTCTTTTTTTGACCGTCAAGCCTTAAACGGCTATTTCTCATTTTTTTTAATAAAAAACTTCACTGTAAATATTACCATTCACTTCTCATTTACAACAAAAAAAACACCAAACACTATATACAAATTTTTTGTTTAAAAATGTCCTCATCGTCGTCGCCCATTTCATTAGAGATACATTGGTGTTGCGGGAAGCGGGGTTTATCGGAGACGTTATGCGAACAACACTGACATATCTACAAGAAAATGAAACCGAAAGTTCGCAACCAAAACTTAGAAATCCTCCTTTACGGAGAAATCGTGAAGTCGGGTACAACCAACTTGTTAGTGACTACTTTGTCAACGATGCAATGTATGCCGTAAAATTACATGTCGGTTCCGGATGAGGAAAGAATTATTTTTACGCATTGTCGACAACATCAAAAATCAATTTCCATATTTTTTGCAACGGGTTAATGGTAGAGGTCAAAAAGGTTTCTCCTCAATTCAAAAATATACTGATGTAGTTCGTCAACTAGCATTCAGCATGGGACCGGACTCATGTGATGAATATTTTAGGATGTCAGAGCGAACGCCGAAGGAATTTGTATACAAGTTTGCTAGAGCTGTGATTATTCTCTATCGTGATCGCTATTTACGCAAGTTTACAATAAGTGATATCCACTAACTATATACAACACATCCAAACACACATGGTTCCCTCGAATGCTTTGTAGTATTGATTGTATGCATTGGGGGTGGTCAATGTGCCATAATGCGTGGCACAGTCAATATATGCGAGGTGATAAAAAATGCTAACAATAATTTTAAAAGCAGTGACGTCGTATGATCCTTAGACATGACATGCGTTTTTTGGTCCAGCGGGTTTTAACAACGACATCAACATTTTAGACTAATCATCGATATTCGATGACGTTTACCTTGGGAAATTGTATGATGTGTCTTTTTAGGCAAATGAGACATCGTACAAGCGTGGATATTACTTTACTGATGAGATACATCCCAAGTTAACTACGTTTGTGAAATCATTCTCATGTCCAAATGATGAAAAGCGAATAAAATGCAAGTCTGCCCAACAATCTGCTAGGAAGGATATCGAGTGAACCTTTGGTGTTCTAAAAAGACGTTGGCAGATACTCTGGCGCGATCTATGGAGTGAAAACGAATAAGTAGTTTTATGTATGTGTGCATTATATTGCATAATGTGATTATAGAAGATGAGGGGAAAACGATTTGCCATTACAATGAAAATGAGGATTTACCAAATGCAGAAGGAGTTAGTATTGGTACGCAGGCGTACATGGCGAACATAGTGGATGTATACGACCGAGTCGGATACCACAACCTTCGTGCGGATTTGGTGGAACACGTATTGAATGCCTGAGTGAATCTTAATGTGGACAATTTTGATGAAGACGAGTTGTTTGACTCTACCGTTGACGAGTCGGAAATGTTTGAAATGACGACACAGCTAGTGACGATGATTAGAAAAATGATGTGGCACCCACCAATTTTGTAAGGTGATAAGTTGTGGTATGACATCCACCAGTTTTGTAGGGTGAAGGGAAAATTGATGTGACGATCACGTGACACTACAGTAGTGTGGTGAGTGTGGTATGACACCTGTCTTAGGCTGTGGATATGAGCCATTGTCTTCACACAATTTGCCTTATCATACGCCATATCATCCTCCACACCACTTCATTATATCTAGGAAATGGTCACCACACCAGTTCAATTTCCTGTGTCATTTTTTTTTCTTTTTTTTCAATAATTATAAAAATGGATTATATAATATTAAAAAAATATATCGTTTAAATAAAAACATAACATTTAAATTGAAAAAAGACATTACAAGACAAAAAAAATGTATAATCTTTTTTTTTTCCTTCTAAATACACTATTTGTCATCATCGTTAACATCCTAGATATGATTCGTCAAGTCTTATCGAAGTTGTTTGTGTTTTTGTGCGTCTTGAATATCAACGACTCTATGCAAATATTCTGTTGAACATGGTATAAATTTAATGTGTCGGGGCTCTGTTGGCATATATTGTGCAATAGTCCGTTCTTTATCTTCCACTATGCATATATGTGGTAGAGTTTCTATCTTATATGGTCATGCTGCACATTTAACTATCTACTATGTGCCCTTCGACTTTAGAACTTCATAAACACGTTTCACATCCTTACGTGTTGCTTCTTGTCATGTTTTGAAGAATTTTCTTTTGGTTCTACTGGGTTTCGGAATGCCTTCACGAATGTAGAATACGCATTATATATATATATATATATATATATATATATATATATATATATATATATTCTATCCTTTAGGTAATACCCAAACTTATATTCATTTTCATTAACTATGAAAGGAGCATCCAATGTCTTTCTTGATAAAACATCGTTAAATATTGGTGATCGATCAAGAACGTTGACGTCGTTGTTGGAACCCGCAACCTCGAAAAAAGCATGCAAAATCCACAAATCTTGGGAAACAACAACCTTTAATACCAACGAAGGTGTTCCATGATGACCACTTGCAAACTGTCATCTCCACCCGTGGGGACAATTTCTCAAATCCTAATGTGTGCAATTAATGTTTCCAATCATACCGGGAAAGCCATGTCTCCCTTCATGTGTTTCATATAGTTGTTGCATATCTTGCAATGAAGGTTTCCGCAATTAAACGTCACCGACTGCAATGGAAGGTTCCATGTCTCCCCATTTATCATATATTTTTTTATTTTTTTAAACTATATTTAGCATAAAAAAACCCTATAAATCCCCCCCCCCTTCCAAAATAATAATAATAATAATAAAATCCTAGGTGACGTCGTTATCTTCTTCACCATCTTAATTCTCTTCCCCCTTTTCTGGTTTTCAGCGACCCTTCCCCACCTTCTCATTCTTGACCCTTCCCCTACCTTCTCCTTCTCGTGACAATCGACTATCGATACCTTGTCTCTCTTTATGACACATATAAACCTAAATTTCTTAATTCATACTCTGCTGAGAATGATTCTTCAACTAGGTTAATGGCCTAAAAGTTGTTGTTGATCTTTGTGGGATCTTTGTGGTAGTATCATTTTTTGACATGGATTTGATTTGAGAACAATTTTTTCTTGACCTACATTGTATTAATCTTCCGATCTAATTTGATTGTTGTTGTATTTTGTGTGGTGTTCTTGTCGAAATTGTCTTCGTTGATGAACTGAATTTCGAACAAGTTGTGATCTCAGAAGAAAATAGAGCGAAGTAAATCAAGTAAAATGGTCAGACTGTCCGAAAAAAGAAATAGTTGTTTATGTATATCATATTTACTCATTTTTCCTTTGAGTACTTTACCCATACAATTTTTAATAGTGATATTTTGTTTAATTTTGTGCAAAAGACGTTAATACCTTTCTGATTTTAGTTTGAAACTGCAATTACATGCGGAGTGCCATCTATTTAGATTACAATTTATAAGTCTGTGAATTTTATTCTTTTTAAGAAATAAAAATAAAAGTACAATATCTAGTCTTCTTTTCTGATGATGGAGCAAAACTCCACATCACTTGTTGTATAGATTTTCATTTAGAAGTTAGAATTTCTCATTGAAATATTGTCACCTCGTGTAAATATGTACATTCCTTCAACAAATAATTCAAATTTCTTCAAACACAAGTGATTCTTGCTTTTGGGTGTAGGGTATTTTTGTTTGTAAATGTTAGTTTATAAATATTTGTTTGTTTATCTTAATATAAAAAAACTAATTTGCCATAATTATTTAGCTCCAATCAAATATGTGTTTGTATTATATCTGATTATTAATACAAAAATAAAAATATATAAAATCAAATAGAATTTTTTTCTTTATTTTTATTGTCTTATTTGTTTTGTTTTGCTAATTTAGAAGTCTTTGAGCCAATATTACCTAGCCACTATTAGAAAAAAAAACAGATTCAAAGTTACAAAAAAATTTAGATGGTTATCACATGACATGACAACTAGAATAGAAATCAAAAATTATGGTCAACATTAAACCAAATTATCGGATTTCTAAAGTCATAAATAGACATATGTTCCAAAACAAATCAATTGCAATATAATTTGATAATGAGTTTTTGACACTGTAGCACATCAATGTTTGGTCAATTTGCACATTTAGTCACTAAAGTTTTTTTTTGTGCTCAATCGATCTTTAATATTAGTAAATGCCGGCTAATTACCCCCTTATGCACCTGGTAAACGGAACAACCGATGGTATTGCTTACGTGGAATAAGTTTACATTATATATATGTCATTTATTATATCCACATAAGATTTAGAAGTC